GATGATTAATAAGAGTATTAATTTTAAACATTAATAAAATAAGATAAAATATTAATATAAATTAATTAATATAAAATATTTAAAAAAATACAATATTAATCATAAAATTAATTTAATATATAAGGATTCTATAAGGAATAATATAAAGGAAAGATTAACAGTATTAACCTTTTCTGTAGTATCAACCACGGGGTTCTTATTGAACAAATCCGCACTTTTTAAATTTACTAATTACATATTTTAAAATGGTTTATTATGAAATATTTTACTCGTGGATGTGAAGGTTCCATAGAAATTAGTTGTTGAATACAAGTTTATTTTCATTAAATTAGTTTTACTTCAAAATAAAGCATATACATTTGCCATTTCTATAATAAAATTCCTAAACTTATCTATTAGTAAAAAAAAGAAATTAATCTTGTTTTTAATCATATGGTTCATTCACAGGGTACCCACCAAAAATATTAAGAGTAAAAATTGTCCCTGGGTAAAAGAATTTGGAGAACCACTGAGTTTACTGATTTTGTGCGGTCATTGTCCAAATTAAAACAGGCGACGTTAAAACCAATTAACTTGAAAGAAGGGAGAAGAACGTATGTTTTCTTCTAAAAGTTCTTACAAATCCAGTTTTTAAATCCTGAAAAAAAAGTTAGAACAACACATCTTTTGCACTTCCAAAATGCCATTGTTTTCATGTACTTCGAAAATCTAACATGTCCGAGGATCAACCATCTTTTTCATCTAGGCGCAAACGAATGTCAACTCCACCGAACAATCAGCCTAATGAGCCACCTAACAAAACTCATCATCCGTATTCTGTTGAATAAAGCGCGCAGCAGTATCAGGCCAGAGATAGGACAAAAACAGTGCGGGTTCGTTAAAGACATCGGTAAAAGGAACGCGATATTCATGCTCAGAATGTTATCAAAAAGAGCAATACAAATGCAGAAGGACGTGTACCTGTGTTTTAAAGACTACGCAAAGGCGTTCGACAAAGTACTTCAAGAAGATCTGTTGGAACTGTTCAGCAACCTTGATATATTTGGGAAAGATATTAGAATAATCAAGAACCTATTCTGGCAGAAAACGGTCTGAATGCGGATAGAGAATGAACTCAGTGGATATGCAAAAATAGAAAGGGTCGTAAGGCAAGGATGTGCCTTCTCACCGGACTTTTTCTACCTATACAGCGAGGCATTTCTGAGAGAATTGAAAATCCTACCGGGATTCGTCATTGGCGGACACAATCTTGACAACATAAGATGCGCAGATGACACAGTATTGATAGCAGACACGGAAAAGAAATTACAAAATCTCCTACAGAAGGCAGCGAGGGAGAGCGAGAAGAAAGGACTAAGCATAAACTACAAGAAGAAAGAATACATGTAAAAGGATAAGCCCGAAATGCGATTTGCAGGGCGGTGGCACTAAAATCAAGCTGATGCGGAACATTAAATATATGGTAAGTATTTTGACGGAGGACGGTAGGTGCGACGCTGAGATCCAAAGATGTATTTGGATGGCCAAAGACGCATTCCAAAAGCTGGGCAGATTATTACGAGAGAGGAGGATTTCTTTGGTAACAAAGAAGAGAGTACTGAGCATAAGTGACATCTGTCCTCCTTTATGGCAGCCAATGTTGGACGGTCTCCTCAAAGATGAAGAAGAGTCTCGAGGTAATGAAGGTGTGGTTCTACAGAAGGATGCTCAGGATATCATCGACCGAGAGTGTGAGCAGCGATGAGGTTTTGAAGAGGATGCAAACAAGCAACAAGCTTATACTTAACACCAGGAAGATGCAGCTGAAATTTTGTTGAGAAAGGAGGGCTTGGAGAATCCGATACTCACATGTCGAATAGAGGGAAAGAGAGACAAGGGAAAGCAACGCATGACACACCTGACAGGCTTAAGCAAGTGGATGAAAGAACGTGTCTAGGGGAGATAACAGAGGGGCGAAACTTATGGAGTTCTAAAAGGTATAGAGGGAAGTGGAGAGCCATGATTATCGACGTCCTGAATGGACATGGAACATAAAAAGAAAAGAAGTTCATTGCAAGTAAGTAGTGAATTCGATCCCTTAGATGCTCTGAAGTTGAAACCTTGAGTTGGAACTAAGGTAAGCTTAATAAATGAAGTACAGAGGCTGATGTTTTTCTTAGTGTTTTAAAACCAAAGGCGATTGATAAGAATCGTTGACCTTTGGCAACTTTATCAATGACTACAATATTAGCACGTACAATGAAGTTGCAGATAACGTTGAATCAGGTGCTTATCGATCTGGACAAATCGATAGCACAGCCTCAGCAAATGACCAAGGATCGACATACGGTCCTCAAACGGCTCGGTTGAATTCCACACATTCCTCTGTATTTTGTCTAGTTCTTGTCTTTCGGACAGAAGTCCAGATCGATAAGAAAACCAGACGACTTAGCACAATTAATATATGCATCTTTGCGTATTAATGAATATTTGCTTCGATGAGAATCGAACCCGTGAATAAAGAATAGACAATTTTTCTGTGCTGGCTCTTTCTGATGAAATTTAAAAAAAAAACATATTACTCCAGTCACGATAGGTTCTTTTCTCGTACTTTTCGCCAACGGAAGTCAATTTCTATTTCTTACTTCCTTGGCACCTCTAATCTTCAAACATTTAAAATGCAACATCAGACGCAATATTCTATCTTCCTGAATACTATTCTTTCATCGCCCTTTCTCCTCACTAACATCTTCCCATTTTTTTACACTCAGTAACCCCTTGCGTCTTAGTGGCGTTATCGCCTTGCTTCAGGTGAAATGATTAACATACACACAGATATAGATATATATATATGTGTGTGGGTGTATATATATATATATATATATATATATATATATATATATATATATGTAGATAGATAGATAGATAAATAAATAGATAGATGTCCTTTTTCCCCTTTTCTTCTCAGTGATGCTGAAATACGCATTTGTAGACACAGAGAGTGGCGTCAAGTTTCAGTTTCGAACAACTGGTGGTCTCTTCAATCATCAGCGCTTCAAAGCCAAGACCCACCTTCATACGCATATTATTTGTGATTTGTTGTTTGCTGATGATGCGGCTCTTGTAGCGACATCCTTTGAGGAGGCCCAACATTTAATAAATCGTTTCTTTGCTGCATGTAAAGCCTTTTGTCTTACACTTAGCATAAAGAAAACTGAAGTAGTGCACCATACTTGTCCTACTCCGAAGCAATTCCGCGGTGAGAAACAAAAAACCCCAATCTACAAATTTCCAAAGAGACCATTGAAAGAAGAAGACAAAGCCCTGAACTATGTAAAATCTTTCACCTATCTTGGTAGCAAAGTCAATTACAGTGGCTAAGGCTACCAGTGCTTTCGGCACACTTCGTCATCACTTGTGGAATGAGCCGGGTATTCGACTGGTTACGAAAATTCGGGTTTACAGAGCTGTTCTACTTGCCATCCTTTTGTATGGCTCAGAGTACCATATACGCCAGCTGGAGGTTTTCCATAAAAGCTGTCTGCGTGCAATCTGTGGATAACTGAATCAACTAAGCTGCCGTATCGTCATACGTCGAAACCGACGGGAGAGCCCATTATATATATATATATATATATATATATAACAAAAGGCAGAGTGGAGTAATGGATAGCGTCTTGGATGGAGGAAACGAAGAGCCGAGTCGATTGCATTACATTCACTTATTCACCCTTGGGAAAGGTGTGTATCCTCTTCTTCTGCCTCCAGCTATGGGTAAATAGCAGGACATACTGGGCTCAATAGCCTTGGATGGTATCTGATCTCGGAGAAGGACAACTCTGAATTCAAAACCTGCGGAGGGTCGTTTGGGGATCTGTATTCGACCCTTCAAAAAGTGTGAATGGTCCTGCACGAAACGCTCACCACCATAATCAAATCTCATGTGCTGTTGAACCTTTTCTAACCCAGAATAGGTGTTGGGTTCATCATTTTGAGCCAGTGACATAGAGACAATCCATTCAGTGGAAACACCTACTTGTCATCTGCTCCAAAGAAGGCCATGGTCGTTCCATCTAAAGAGAATGTGATGGCTTCAGTTTTGAGGGATGAAAAATCATTGTGTTTATTGAGTATCGTCCAAAGGGCCACACCATCAATGGAGAGTACAATAAAAACTTGCAGAGGCAGTTGGGAAAGGCTATCAAGACCAAACTCCCAGGAAAACTAATGAAAGGGATCTTTTTTCATCAGGACAAGGCCCACGCACAGAAGCTTTTGGTTTCAATGGCTGTGTGACTGTGGCTTTTAACTTGTTGATCCCCTTACCTCCTAATTTGGCACCATCTGACTACGATCTGTTCTCCAACATGAAGAAACATTTGGTTGGGAACCACTATCGCAGTGTTGATGATATTATGTCTACTGTTGATAAGATTTTGGCCAATAGGATGAAAGCATTTTCAACAACGGTTCCAAGTATTGCAACACGAATGGAGGAAGTGTGTGGACCGCAAGAGGGGGCTATGTTGAAAATAAATCTCATTTGGTTGCATTCCATGAACTTATGATCAGCCTCTGAACTTTTCAACCGACCATAATATTACGTCTATCAGCTTGCGTATTCAAAACATCTTAATAAAGAAAATGTGCTCCCCAGCAGGGAGCATTCATTTTCCATGTATGATGGTTTAGCACCATGTTTCGCCCTTGATGTCTTAATTGTGTTTACGCATTCAATAACTTAATGCCAGCTTGAAACCCACTCAGCATCTTTATATAGGTAAGTGCGTATGCATTCCTCTTGCTTAAATCGCTTTTTTTAGTATAACTTCCGGTTAGAACTGAAATACAAGTGCAAAATATACGGCGAAGGATGACGTTTCTCTCAAGAGAAAGAAAAGATAGGAAATATAAAACAAGAAATAAAACAATTTGGAAAGAAAAAGCAAATGAGAATACGATGCAAAAGTCAGAAGCTTGGAGGAAGAAAGTTAAAAAAAGGAAAAAAGAAAGATAGGAATTTAGAAGGACAGAAAGAAAGAAAGATATATAGGACAAAAGAGAAAAGAAAGAAAGGAAAAAGAAAGGAAAAAGAAAGGAAAAAAAGGAAGCCAAAATAGAAAGAAAGATGGAAATATAGGAAGAACGGTGAAAATAAAAGAAAGAAAGAAAGAAAGAACTAGAGAAAGAAATATGAAAGAAATGTAAAAGTAGAAAAAAAGGAGGATAGTAAGCGAAGATGAAAGAAAGAAAGAAAGAATGGTAAATATCAGAAAAGAAAGAATGATCTAAAAAAGGAGAGAGATCGAAAAGGAAGAAAGAATTTTTAAAAAAGAAAAGGATAGAAAAATGTATAGAAATGTAAAAAAAAAACAGAAAAAAAGTTTAAAGAAAGGCACTAAGATACTCTATGCGATAATATCAGAATGAATTAAAAGAGAAAAGAGAAGGAAAGAAAAGAACGATATTAAAAAAGAGAGACGAATTAAAGAAATGAAATTCAAATACTGAAAAGGATTTTAAAATGAAACTGACAGAACAAAGAAAAAAGATAATGCAAAAGAAAGCACCAAAGAAAAAAAAATGAAAATAATTACAAAAAATAATATAAGTAATGAAGAAAAAATTGCTATAAAAGAAAGACTGAATGAAAGAAAGAAGAGAAAATAATTTGTAAATAAGGAAATTTATGACGAAAGAAAGAAAAATTTTAAAAGATAAAATTAAGTGGAGATAAAAATGAAAATAAAAACAAAAAATAAAAATGAAATTGGAAAACAATAAAGAAATAAAAACGATGAGAAAACTCAAAGAAAATGAAGACTAAAAGATATAAAGAAACAATGAAATAAAAAAGAATCGTACTGCCATGAAAAATGAGAAAGAAAAAAAGGATAAAATGAAGGAATTAACGAGAAAGAGTCTAAAAAGAAAAATGAAGAAAAGATGAGTGAAAATAAATGAAGAAAAGAATAAGACTGAAACATAACGAGAAACATACATGAGTTATAAAATGGCGAAAGAAAATGTAAATTAGAAAAAGGAAGAAAAAATTAAAATTAGAAAATCGTAAGAAAAAACTGAGAAAATACTTTTCAATCTCGGAAGACGAGACGAAATGAAAGAAACTGTGGGAAATTGAGAATGGAGTCGGACTAAGAAGTAAGAATAAATAAAATGAACGGAAGAGAATGTAGCAATCCTAAATACCAGTGAAATGAAGTCGTCATTACATGTTGAAAGAAGCCGAGGCTAAAAAGAAAAGAATTGCATTTTGTTAACTAGAAGAGATGCCATAAACATTGAATGGGCCAGCTAATTCTCAAAGAAAGAAAGAAAGAAAGAAAGAAAGAAAGAAAGAAAGAAAGGTGTCAAGGAGAAAGAAAGAAAGAAAGAAAGAAAGGTGTCAAGGAGAAAGAAAGAAAGAAAGAAAGAAAGAAAGAAAGAAAGAAAGAAAGGTGTCAAGGAGAAAGAAAAGAAAGAAAGAAAGAAAGAAAAGGTGTCAAGGAGAAAGAAAGAAAGAAAGAAAGAAAGAAAGAAAGAAAAGAAAGAAAGAAAGAAAGAAAGAAAGGTGTCAAGGAGAAAGAAAGAAAGAAAGAAAGAAAGAAAGGAGAAAGAAAGAAAGAAAGAAAGAAAGAAAGAAAGAAAGGTGTCAAGGAGAAAGAAAGAAAGAAAGAAAGAAAGAAAGAAAGAAAGGTGTCAAGGAGAAAGAAAGAAAGAAAGAAAGAAAGAAAGAAAGAAAGAAAGAAAGATGTCAAGGAGAAAGAAAGAAAGAAAGAAAGAAAGAAAGAAAGAAAGAAAGAAAGAAAGAAAGAAGTCAAGGAGAAAGAAAGAAAGAAAGAAAGAAAGAAAGAAAGAAAGAAAGAAAGGTGTTAAGGAGAAAGAAAGAAATGTGTCAAAGAAGAAGGGAAAAGAAAAAAAGAAAATGAGTAAAGGAAAGACGAAATAAATGTTTAAAGAAAGAATTAAAAATAAAAGAAGGCGAAGAAAGAAGGAATGAAAGAAAGAAGCGAGTAAAGGGAAAGGCAAATAAGAAAGAAAGAAAGAAAGAAAGAAAGAAAGAATCGTGTCAAAGAAGAAGAAAAATAAAAAAAGGAAAAAAGAAAATGAGTAAAGTAAGGACGAAATAAATTTAAAGAAAGAATTAAAAATAAAAGAAGGCGAAGAAAGAATGAAGGAAAGAAAGAAAAAAAAAGTAAGAACCGAGTAAAAGACAAAGCAAATAAGAAAGAAAGAGAGAAAGAGAAAGAAAGAAAAAAGAAAGAAAGAAAAAGAAAACGTGTTAAGGAAGAACGAAACATTTTAAAGAAAGAATTAAAAATAAAAATAAAGTTTACAAATTTAATGAGAAATAAAGAAAAAGCGAAGAAAGAAAGAAAAAAGAATGGTTAAAAAAAGAGAGAAAGAAATGAAAAAAAAAAGAAAAAAAAAAGAAAACTACATAGGAATGAGTCCAAGAAAAGAAACGTTCTGAGAATGTAAAACTAAGATCAAGAAGACTAGAGAAATACGGATAAAAATGGCAGAAGGGTAGTGACCGTGAAGTGGAAGCAGCAATGGCGCCGCCTGTGAACTGTAAGTTGTCATGTGATCCCGATGGGCCTCACGGTTGGCTGAGTGGGTTAACTTTGCAGCTGGTACCGAAGGAGGAGGCACTGATGGAGAGGCTGATGGGAGAAGGAAGAGGAGAAGAATAAAGTGAGGGGCTAGTCCATAGACTAATCTTACTCCGATTACGAATGCAGTCAGACATCTTGTCTCATACGTTGTAAACTGGTTGGCGCTTCAGAAATATGCAGGCAAAAAACAAATTCTCTATTTGAACAAAGCAGTTTTTCCTTTGCTTGTTTTATTTTATAATATGTTTCTAGGTGGATAATTTTCTATTCTTTTAGGATGTTATTTTCTTGCGGGTTAAAACACATTTTTTAAAAGAGTCTGTGCGATCAAAATGAAGATATTTGCCGACAGTCCAATTCTGTGAGAAAAGAAGTCGAATAGAATAACGAGTAACCAAAGCGAGCAAGAGAGAGAGGGAGGGAGAGAGAGAAAGTGAGAGATAGAGAGAGAGAGATACAGAGAGTGAGAGACAGAGAGAGAGAGAGGGAGAGAGTGAGAGATAGAGAGAGAGAGAGGGAGGAAGAGAGAGAGAGAGGGAGAGAGAGGGAGAGACAGAGGGAGGGAGGGAGATACAGAGAGAGAGAAGGAGGGAGAGACAGGGAGGGAATGAGAGAGACTGGGAGGGAGTGAGAGAGAGAGAGGAAGGGAGTGAGAGGGAGGGAGGGAGAGAAGTGAGAGATAGATAGAGAGAGAGAGAGAGAGACAGAGAGAGAAAAGGGAGATAGAGTGAGAGACAGAGGGAGGGAGGGAGATACAAAGAGAGAGAAGGAGGGAGAGAGAGACAGGGAGGGAATGAGAGAGACGGGGAGGGAGTGAGAGACAGAGAGGGAGCGCGAGACAGAGAGAGAGGTAAGGAGAGAGAGACAGACTGAGAGAGAGGGAGTGAGAGAGTGGAAGGGAGAGGGAGAGGGGAGGGAGAGAGGGAGGGAGAGAGGGATGGAAATAGAGAGGAGAGACAGAGAGAGATGGAGAGAGAGGGGAGGGAAAGAGAGAGAGAGGGGAGGGAGAGAGAGAAAGGAGAGAGAGAGAGAGAGAGAGAGAGAGAGAGAGATAGAGGGAGGAAGAAAGGAAGAGAGAGAGAGAGGGAGGGAGGGAGGGAGATACAGAGAGAGAGAAGGAGGGAGAGAGACAGGGAGGGAATGAGAGAGACTGGGAGGGAGTGAGAGAGAGAGGAAGGGAGTGAGAGGGAGGGAGAGAGAGAAAGTGAGAGATAGATAGAGAGAGAGTGAGAGACAGAAGAGAGAGAAAGGGAGATAGAGTGAGAGACAGAGGGAGGGAGGGAGATACAGAGTGAGAGAAGGAGGGAGAGAGAGACAGGGAGGGAATGAGAGAGACTTGAGGGAGTGAGAGACAGAGAGGGAGCGCGAGACAGAGAGAGAGGTAGGGAGAGAGAGACAGACAGAGAGAGAGAGGGAGTGAGAGGGAGGAAGGGAGTGAGAGAGTGAGAGGGAGGGAGAGAGGGATGGAGATAGAGAGTGAGAGACAGAGAGAGATGGAGAGAGGGAGGGAGAGAGAGAGGGAGGGAGAGTGAGGGAGGGAGAGTGAGAGACAGAGTGAGGGAAGGAAGGAAGATAGGGAAGAGAAATATATAATGGAGAAGAGCGGAAAGGAGAAAGAGATGAGGAAAGACGTGAGAGATGAAAGTAGAAAGTAAAGAAGGAGAGCGAAGGAGAGTGGGGAAAGGAGAGGGAAAATTATAGAAACAGAGTAAAGACAAGAGAAAGACTGAGAAAAAGAAGAAGCAACAGAGTGAGAAAAACCTGAAGATAGAGAGGGGGAAGAGAGAGAAAGGAAGAGAGAGAGAGACAGGTAAAAAGAGAGATAAGAAATGGGAGAAAGAAAATGACAGGTGAAACAAGAGACGGGAAGGAGGAAGAGAGTGTGTAATATAGAACAAGAGGAAAGAACAGAAAGAATATGAGAGAGAGAGAGAGAGAGAGAGAGAGAGAGAGAGAGAGAGAGAGATGCAGAAATTGGAAGAGAGAAAAGGAGAGGGGGGAATGATTTAAAGAAAGTAAAGAAAGAAGAATGGAGTGAATGAGAACGAGATAAAAGGCGAGAGAGGAAAAGAGAGATAGGAAAAGAGAGAAAGGAAATGAGAGTGAGGAAACAAGATGGAGGAGGAGGGGGAAGAGATGAAATGATAGAAGGGGAACGGATAAAGAGGAACAAAGAGAGAAAAACGGAGAAAGGGGAGAATATAGAGAATGGGAGAGAGGTGAAAGAATCGAGATTGAGTGAGGAAAAGAGAGCGAGATAACAAATGTGAGATAAGAAACGTAAAGGAATTAGTATATATTATTTAAATGTTAATATAGTGGCAACATTCAATTAGAAATGAACTCCACAATTTCATTTATGCGCGAGCTGATAGACTAATATTCACTGTTTAATAAATAAAAAAAATGGCGTCTATTTCAAATATGAGGTATCTCCTGTAATAATAACATTTGTGATAATAAAAATACCTGATGAAGAATATATCCACGAATTATTTAGAGGCTGCTTTGTTTATGTTTCGAATGCAAAACTGCGCAAATATGAAACTTTCAAGAATATAATCTGAGTGAAGGTGGTGTGCTTTCCTTGAGGCGGGAGAATAGAACCTTTCTTGCTTCGACGTTATACCTGGTCGAGCGCTAAGTCACGCAGGATCAAACGGTGATTTCCCCTACATAGGTGGATGAAGGTTCCATCTCTTCTGGGGAAAATGTATTTTCTCTACTCAGATTTCTCGAATGCGCAATACGTGCTGTTTAATAAATAATAATTCGGCATCTATTTCAAATATGATTTTTTTAATCCAGTTCATCCCACGTAATGCAGTAAAGCCACTAAGACATAAAGGTTTACTGAATGAGGAAGAAACCAGAAACATTATTAGAAGCAAGAACAAAAAAAGAGTAATCAGGAGGCCAGGCATTTAAATCTTTTAAGATTAAAGTTGACTGGGAAGTATGGAGCCGGAAGGAAGTTTCACAAGCGAGAAGTGCGAGAAAAGAAACAAGTTTCACAAGCGAGAAGTGCGAGAAAAGAAGCATAGAGTTTACGGTTACAGCGATCCAAGTCAACTGTAAATTGATAAGGCCTCGTCGTCAGTCTAGTAATGTACTTAAATTCATAATGACTAAGTTCCATAGCAAAGAGTAATATTTATTTGTATATACAAACAAAATGTGGCACAAGGTCTAAAAGGGGAATGAGAGAAAATGGACGGTCTTCTTCAGTCATAAATTTAAACTTAGCTAGCGACAATCACTGATCCAGACATACCACAATATTCCTTACACCAAAACAACGCATTCTTACATACCATTCTTAATTACATTCACCATAATACCACAATGTCTCTATGGAAGTCTTAACT